CTTCCCATGGGATTTTACCTACCAACTCCCTGAGTTTGCTAAAGTCTGCCTTCTTAAAATCCATTGTCTTTATTGTGCTGTTCTCCCTCCTACTATTCCTTAGAATCATGAACTCTACCATTTCATGATCACTTTCACCCAAGTTGCCTTCCACTTTCAAATTCTCAGTCAGTTCCTCCCTATTTGTCAAAATCGAATCTAGAACAGCCTCCCCCGCTAGTAGCTTTTTCTACCTTCTGAAATAAAAAATTGTCTCCAATATATTCCTAGAACTTATTGGATAATCTGTGCCCTGCTGTGTTATTTTCCCAACAGATGTCTGGGTTATTGAAGTCCCCCATCACCACCAAGTCCTGTGCTTTGGATGATTTTGTTAGTTGTTTAAAAAAAACCTCATCCACCTCTTCTTCCTGGTTTGGTGGTCTGTAGTAGACCCCCTACCATGGCATCACCCTTGTTTTTTACCCTTACCCAGAGACTTTCAACAAGTCTGTTTCTTATTTCTATCTCAACCTCAGTCCAAGTGTATACATTTTTAATATATAAGGCAACACCTCATCCCTTTTCTCCCTGCCTGTCCTTCCTGAGCAAGCTGTATCCTTCTATACCAATATTCAGTCATGTGGAATCCCACCAAGTCTCCGTGATGCCAACTGTGTCATAGTTGTGTTTATTTATTAGCATTTCGAATACTTCCTGCTTATTTCCCATTCTTCTTGCATTAGTATACAGATATCTAAGATACTGATTTAATTCCCCCCCCCTCTCCCGCCAGTTCTGTCTTCTCTCTCCCTTATTTCTGCTTAACAGCCCATGCTCCCCACAAAGTCTGACCCTTCTCCCAGGTCTCCATGTTTTTGACTTATCTGTGGGCTTTGGTCACTTGCCCCTGTCAAATCTAGTTTAAAGCCCTCCTCACTAGGTTAGCCAGTCTGTAGTCAAATATGCTCTTCTCCTTCCTCGATAGGTGGACCCCATCTCTGTTTAGCCGTCCTTCTTCCTGGAACAGCATCCCGTGGTCAAGGAAGCCGAAGCCCTCCTAGTGACACCATCTTTGCAGCCAGGCATTTACCTCCAGAATGTATCTGTCTTTGCCCAGGCCTCTACCCTTGACCGGAAGGATCGAAGAGAACACCACCTGCGCTCCCAACTCCCTTACCCTTACTCCCAGACCCCTGTAGTCACTTCTGATCTGCTAAGGGTCATACCTTGCAGTATCATTAGTGCCCACATGGATGAGTAGCATGGAGTAGTAGTCAAAGGCCAGATGATCCTTGACAGTCCCTCCGTAATGTCTCAGATATGGGCCCCTGGCAGGCAGCATACCCCCTGAGATGCTATGACAGGGCGACAGAATAGTGCCTCCGTCCCCCTCAGAAGAGAGTATCCAACCACCAATACCCTATGTTTCCTCTTGGGAGTGTTAGCTCTGATCCTCCCAGTCTTGGGGGTACGTGGCTTCTCCTCTTCAACCTTTGGGGTGATTCCTCATCACTTGTTGCCAAGGCAGCATAACGGTTCTCTATCACCATAGTGGGTGGGTTGGGAGTAGGGGTGGAGCACTGCCTGCTGCCAGAAGTAACCAGCAGCCAGTGTCCTCCCTGTACCAGAGCCTTATCCTTCTCCCTCGGTGGCATGACAGCAGTCCTCTCTAGCTGGATAGTGTCCTCAGCCTTGGGGCAACAAAAATGATTAGGGGGCTGGAGCACATGACTTATAAAGAGAGGATGAGGGAACTGGGATTATTTAGTCTGCAGAAGAGAAGAATGAGGGGGGATTTGATAGTTACTTTCAACTACCTGAAAGGGGGTTCCAAAGAGGATGGATCTAGACTGTTCTCAGTGGTACCAGATGACAGAACAAAGAGTAATGGTCTCAAGTTGCAGTGGGGGAGGTTTAGGTTGGATATTAGGAAAAACTTTTTCACTAGGAGGGTGGTGAAGCACTGAAATGGGTTACCTAGGCAGGTGGTGGAATCTCCTTCCTTAGAGGTTTTTAAGGTCAGGCTTGACAAAGCCCTGGCTGGGATGATTTAGTTGGGGATTGGTCCTGCTTTGAGCAGGGGGTTGGACTAGATGACCTCTTGAGGTCCCTTTCAACCCTGATATTCTATGTCTCCATATGAATACTCTCGAGAAATTCCTCGTGTGCACGTATACTCCTCAGCCTGGCCAACTCCTCCTGTAGCTCTCCCAGCTGCTTCCTGAGAGATTCCAGCAGCAGGCACCTCTCACACTGGATGGTCCCCCCCCCCAGCCTGGCTTTCTGTGAGTGGGAAATGCAGGCCACAGTCTTTGCAAATCCACACCAGTATCTGGGTAGAGGCATTAACTGTTTTGAAAGCAGAAGTTTTGATTTTTCAATTCAAATTTAATTTTTATTTGAAATATACTTCGGTGTCCTTCCCAAAACATTTACAGGGTAAAAAAATCAGGTAATGGAACATTTAGTTTCTGATCTAACAAAATGTTGTTCATTTGACCCAGGGACCTGCTGTCTGCCCCACTGCAAGCTGCACGACTGACCTGGTGGGCTCTGCCCTGTGTCTAGTTGATGATTATCCATGTTAAAGCAAACCCCGCGATTCCATTAGGCATTGGCCCCTTTGTCAGCAGAGTCAGTGGAGAGGGCAATGGCTGAATGTGCCGCTGAGACTGTCCTTGTCACTCTCTCTGAGAGCAGGGCTGAGTCCCGCTGGCTGCTTAGCGTGAGTGAAGCAGGCCTGCTGCTGCCCATGCTGAACCTGTTCGGTGGATTAGGGGCTTCCTGCTGAGCACCCTCCATCCAGCTGAAATCTGTCCTGAGCACCTTGGGGTGGCTCCCAGAGGCCGTCACTCTCCAGGGCCGTTTCACCAGCACTCAGGCCTTTCAGTGCTTAGGACCAAATTTACAAATCACTGGAGAGAGAGAGAACAGTGGTAAAACAAGGGAAAATAAGCTGGCCTGTCCCCCAGGAAACAGCAGGCCAGCTTTCCTGTTATTCCTTCATTTAGCCATTTGCATGTAAATCTGCTGCATCTTCTTCTTTAATCCACTGCAATTCCCTTCCCGACTGATGTCCTTTTTAAGATCTGCTGTGTTCCTCACCGCCTGCCTCAGCCCCTCCTCCCTCTGGCCCCAATAGCATGGTTGGCTTCAGATCGCACGTGTACAGAAGTGTCTGATAATCCTCCAGCTGCTCCTCAGTGCTGAGGCCTGAAGTGAGCTAGAGCTATACTGCCAGAGGTAAAAGTAAGCCGGTACAATGTACTGGCAAGAGCCAGTACGCCATGCCGGACTGGACCGGCTTCTCCGGCGGTGATTTAAAAGGCCAAGGGCTCCAGCCACTGTGGGGAGCCCCGGACTCTTTAAATCACCGCTGGAGCTCCAGCAGCCGGGCTCGGGCGGAGATTTAAAAGGCTCGGAGCTCCGGCCCCTATGGGGAGCCCTGGGCCCTTTAGAGTGCTGCCTGAGCCCTGCTGCTAGAGCTCCAATGGCGCTTTAAAGGGCCCGGGCCTGGCTCCCCACAGCGACCGGTGCCTCTGGCCCTTTAAATTGCTGCCGGAGCCCTGCAGCTGGGCTCAGGTGGGGATTTAAAGGGCCCGGTGCTCCGGCAACTGCGGGGAGCCCCGGGCCCTTTAAATCTCTGCCCGAGTCCTGCTGCCCCGGAGTAGCGGCGGCAGGGCTCCCACGGTGATTTAAAGGGCCCGGAGCTCTGCGGTGGCCGGAGCTCCAGGCCCTTTAATTCGCCCCTAAGCCCCGGGCTCCCAGCCGCCTCTGCAGCTGGTAGCTCTGGGGTGATTTAAAGGCCCTGGGGCTCCCAGCCACAGCCTGAGCCCCAGGGCCTTTAAATCTTGAAAGGCCCCGCCTCTTCCGGTTGAGGCCACGCCCCCCGCTAAGGACTCAGGGGGACTGGTAAGTCCTTTAAGTTACTTTCACCCCTGTATACTGCAGACCTTTCTGCACCAACCTAGGGACTTTGGTACTTTGCACCTGGCCCTGCTGCATAAATGCTGCATCATTTTAGCTGCATCTGCCTACAGAAAAGCAATGGATTCTGTCTTGTAGTGTAAAATGGCAAAGCTCTATTCTAGCTGCTGCCTGCTATTCCATTAGAAGCCTAATTCATCCCTCTCATTTTATTCTTTCTCCATGCCCTTTGATGGTGACAGCTTAGTGACTCCTGCTCTGCAATCTCACATTGCTTGAGAAGGTCACGGACCCTTTTCTTTGTCACAATCAGTCGGAAGGACCCCTTTGGATACGTGCTCTGTACAGACAAGCTGGGCCCCAGTATGCTGGGGCATTAAGGCAGGTTGTGGAATCCCTGTCACTGTTGGTTTTAAAGAACAGGTTGGACAAATACCTGTCAGGGATGATCTTGGTTTCCTTGGCCCTGCCTCAGTGCAGAAGGCTGCACTAGATGACCTCTCAAGGTCCCCTTCAGACCTATATTTCTATGATTCTAACTATTAGACCACTGAACCTCACTGGTACTAGCAAGGTTCTAATGGTTGAGCTGTCTGTGCTGGCCTGTGGCCATTGGTATCCAGAAGAAGGCTCAGATTGTGTCATGTGAACTGATTGTATTAAAGAACGTATCTCTTGCTCCCTTCTGGTCATGGCTGGACACCCAAGGGAACGGCTCTTTCCCGCATCATGAGGGGCCCTGTCATTTGACCTAAGGACAGAAGCTCAGGCTCCAGCTCTGAAGAGGTTAATATCTGGCCTTGCTTTGGTGCCTTCCTCCTGATGCTAAAATGGGAATGAATACAGGACATGGCAGCCTGCTTTTATTTTTGTTGCCTGCACAGCAGTAACTGTTAAACAGTATTATATCCTCCCCACTTCAGTCCCTGACTCCCTGGCAGCTGGCACAGACCTTGGCTGACAGGAGGGAGCCTGTGGTGCTAAGCTGTTGCTTATCTCTCTGTCAGAGATGTTAGAGCTGCTGGTGTTGCCAGGCTCTGAGCCAGCGTGTTGCATTCTAACAGCTTGGGGTTTCTGCTGTTTCTGCCTAGGTGAACACAGCCATGCATGAGGCCAAGCTGATGGAGGAGTGTGATGAGCTCATGGAGATCATCCGGCAGCGCAAGCAAGTGATCGCTGTCAAGATCAAGGAGACGAAGGTAAGTGTCGCTCTGAGGTGTGTTTTTCTATGGGTGCACATATGTGGCCAGTGCTGATGCCACAATTACTTGGGGGAAGCGCTGTGGCCACTGGTGCTGCTGCTCCTATGACATCCCTGCCCCAGATTTTCAGCTCAGCTTTGCCAACTTGCCCAGTCCTCTTGGTTTCATGTTACAGCATCCTCTCCAGGATAGCATGCTCCCATCCATGGGGCTGACGTGTCAGCAAACAAAGCCACAGAGGAGGGAGATGTACCTTGAGTAAGTGGTGTAAGAGTCGGGGAGACCCACTGGAAAAGATTGGTGTGTCTGGAAATTAGCTTCAAGTCTCAGCATTTCAGAGGTTGTCAATGGAGTGGCCAAGAATTTGCCTACAGAAGGGATAGGATATGCCAAGGCTGGGTCCTCTAATGCTTTTAAACATAGAGGGCAAGGCAAGGGCTGCTTTTCAGAAATGCTTTATGTGATGCTGGCAGACCAGGTGCCAGCTCATGCCAAGGTCCCCAGGTCTCAACTGAACACTGACAAACACCTAGCTGGAACCAGTCTGGCTCACCTGTGGGTTAGTATAATTGAAACATTAAAATTATAAGAATGTGTTTAGTGTTTAAACTTTATAGAATGCCTGTGAGTTGCTGCCTGCACTAATCTCACTCACAGCATTGGTATCCCACAGTTGAGCATTGGTACTGTAAGCCTCTGGAATGATGTAAATCACTAGACAGGAAAGAGGCATTAAGTAATATGAAGTGCCGCACTGCAACCGACAGTGTTATGTCCTGCCCGACAGGAAAGGCCCATCAACACCAGAAGGACTATTATGGCTTGTTAAAGTGGTCAAAAGACTTTGATGCTCTGCTCTTCCCCTCCCATGAAGACGAGTCTTGCAAGTGGATTACTCCCATTGGCTGAGTTTGCAGCTCAGAGCACATGGGAGGAAGGGAATAAAATCCCCTAACAAGATGGAACTGAACCTCTGTGCTGGTTGGACTCAGGGGGGCAAGGTTTTCTAGGCGTAAGCAAGGGATCCCCAGCTGCTTAGCCTGGGTTAGCCCTAAAAGACATACAGAGTTTACTTATACAAGTTTCTGTCATCTTCTGAAATTTAAGATTATAACTAATTTTTGTGTGTGTTGACCTGCTTTAAATAACTCTTTTGTTTCCTTTTTCTATTTAATAAATCTGTATGTAGTTTATTAGAGGATTGGTTGCAAGTGTTGTCTTTGGGGTGAGATCTAAAGTGCAATTGACCTGGAGTAAGTGACTGGTCCTTTGGGACTTGGAGTAACCTGAATATTGCTGTGATTTTTTGGTGTAAGGGACCATCTGTCACAAAGGCAGGCTCACCTGGGTGACGAGATAGATCGGAGTACCAGGAGGACTGTCTGTGACGCCATGTTATGGCTGTTCCAGTGCCTGAGTTTACACTTGAACATGGAGAGTGAAATCTTAGTATAGACCTCACAACCAATTAGGGGTGGGTGCCCCGTTTCCTAAGCTTACAAGAAGTGAAAGGTTGGACAAATGACCAGGGAGAAGTATAAAAATATTGCTCAGGCATGCAGGAGTGAAATCAGGAAGGCCAAATCACACTTGGAGTTGCAGCTAGCAAGAGATGTTAAGAGTAACAAGAAGGGTTTCTTCAGGTATGTTAGCAACAAGAAGAAAGTCAAGGAAAGTGTGGGCCCCTTACTGAATGAGGAAGGCAACCTAGTGACCGAGGATGTGGAAAAAGCTAATGTACTCAATGATTTTTTTGCCTCTGTCTTCACGAACAAGGTCAGTTCCCAGACTGCTGCACTGGGCAGCACACTATGGGGAGAAGGTGACCAGCCCTCTGTGGAGAAAGAAGTGGTTCAGGACTATTTAGAAAAACTGGACGAGCACAAGTCCATGGGGCCGGATGCGCTGCATCCGAGGGTGCTAAAGGAGTTGGCGGATTATTTTTGAAAACTCATGGCAGTCGGGGGAGGTCCCGGATGACTGGAAAAAGGCTAATGTAGTGCCCATCTTTAAAAAAGGGAAGAAGGAGGATCCGAGGAACTACAGGCCAGTCAGCCTCACCTCAGTCCCTGGAAAAATCATGGAGCAGGTCCTCAAGGAATCAATTCTGAAGCACTTAGAGGAGAGGAAAGTGATCAGGAACAGTCAGCATGGATTCACCAAGGGGAAGTCGTGCCTGACTAACCTAATTGCCTTCTATGAGGAGATAACTGGCTCTGTGGATGAGGGGAAAGCAGTGGATGTGTTATTCCTTGACTTCAGCAAAGCTTTTGATATGGTCTCCCACAATATTCTTGCCAGCAAGTTAAAGAAGTATGGGCTGGATGAATGAACTGTAAGGTGGATAGAAGGCTGGCTAGATCGTCGGGCTCAACGGGTAGTGATCAATGGCTCCATGTCTAGTTGGCAGCCGGTTTCAAGCGGAGTGCCCCAAGGCTCGGTCTTGGGGCCGGTTTTGTTTAATATCTTTAGTAATGATCTGGAAGATGGTGTGGACTGCACTCTCAGCAAGTTTGCAGATGACACTAAACTAGGAGGCGTGGTAGATACACTAGAGGGTAGGGATCGGATACAGAGGGACCTACAAGAAGGATGTGGAAAAATTGGAAAGAGTCCAACGGAGGGCAACAAAAATGATTAGGGGGCTGGAGCACATGACTTATGAGGAGAGGCTGAGGGAACTGGGATTGTTTAGTCTGCAGAAAAGAAGAATGAGGGGGGATTTGATAGCTGCTTTCAACTACCTGAAGGGGGGTTCCAAAGAGGATGGAGCTCGGCTGTTCTCAGTGGTGGCAGATGACAGAACAAGGAGCAATGGTCTCAAGTTGCAGTGGGGGAGGTCTAGGTTGGATATTAGGAAACACTATTTCACTAGGAGGGTGGTGAAACACTGGAATGCGTTACCTAGGGAGGTGGTGGAATCTCCTTCCTTGGAGGTTTTTAAGGCCCGGCTTGACAAGCCCTGGCTGGGATGATTTAGTTGGGAATTGGTCCTGCTTTGAGCAGGGGGTTGGACTAGATGACCTCCTGAGGTCCCTTCCAACCCTGATATTCTATGATTCTATGATTCAGTCTCCCTGAGGTTGGTGCTCAAGCTCTTAAGTCATTGCAGGCAGTATGACATTGTCATAGTTGGCAGGATTCATACCACAAGTGAATGAAGTTTATAGATCATAACCCCAGCGCTGTTAAGGTTTTACCTCAATAGTGAGAGTTTTACAGGTTATAGAATGGACACAATGAGTGACCACAGTTATGTAATGGTCTTGTAAGAAAAGAACTTGAACAGTTATGTAAGCAGGGCGGACTATCCTATAAAAAGATAAAAAAAGTTCAGGAGCTGAGAGCTTTGGTTTTAAGTTCTTACCCCAGGTGCTAGGGGAAGGCGAGGACCCTCCAGCCCCAGACACAGCAGAGAAGACCACTGCAGGGGAATGGGCCCAATTACAGCAACTGAGAGCACCTGAAGAATGTGAGCATCAGAGACTGATGGCAGAATTACCAGTCAGGGAGACCAAGGCAGCTGAGGCAGCTGAGGAGAGAGCCCACCAAAGACACAGGGAACAAGTAGCCAACAAAGGAGTGGGCTCACAGGTGTCTGATGGAAGCTCAAACCTTTCAGCCCAAATTACTGGAGCAGCAAAAGGAGCCAGTGAGTACACCTGCCACCCCACCCCCCAACACAAGGGAGTGGGAGAAAGTCTGCCTAATGTATAAAGAAACTGAATATACAGAAGAGTTCCAGTCCACCTTGGAGAGACTGCTTAGGCTGCACAATATCCCCGCAGATAAAGAGATGCCTGTTCTCTTAACCAGCTTATCTGGGAAGCCAGACAAGTTTTAAATGATCTGGAGGAGGGTGGTGTGAAGGTGAAGAAGAAATTTAAAGAACATTTATTGGAAAGATTTAAGATTACCTGTGAGATCTATTCAGGGGTGAAAGTAATTTAAAGGACTTACTGGTACGCTGGAGTCCTGAGCGGGGGCGTGGCCTCAACTGGAAGAGGCGGGGCCTTTCAAGGTTTAAAGGCCTTGGGGCTCCGGCTGTGGCTGGGAGCCCCAGGGCCTTTAAATCACCCTGGAGCTACCAGCTGCAGAGGCGGCTGGGAGCCCTGGGGTTCAGGAGCGAATTAAAGGGCCCGGGGCTCCGGCTGCTGTGGAGCTCTGGGCCCTTTAAATCATCGCCCGAACCCTGCTGCCGGAGCCCCGGCAGTGATTTAAAGGGCCCAGGGCTCCCCGCAATGGCTGGAGCCCCGGGCCCTTTAAATTACCGCCATGGAAGCCGGTCCAGTCCGGCATGGCATACTGGCTCTTGCCGGTGTGCCGTACCGGACCGGACAGGCTTATTTTCACCTCCGGATCTATTGATTGAAGGCTAGAAATATCAGCCTGTTGGACAATGTCACTCATGTTGAACATGTGCTTAAAATATCATAGAATCATAGCATATCAGGGTTGGAAGGGACCTCAGGAGGTCATCTAGTCCAACCCCCTGCTCAAAGCTGGACAAATTCCAAACTAAATCATCCCAGCCAGGGCTTTATCAAGCCTGACCTTAAAAACCTCTAAGGAAGGAGATTCCACCAACTGCCTAGGTAACCCATTCCAGTGCTTCACCACCCTCCTAGTGAAAAAGTTTTTCCTAATAGCCAACCTAAACCTCCCCAACTGCAACTTGAGACCATTACTCCTTGTTCTGACATCAGGTACCACTGAGAACAGTCTAGATCCATCCTCTTTGGAACCCCCTTTCAGGTAGTTGAAAGCAGCTATCAAATCCCCCCTCATTCTTCTTTTCTGCAGACTAAACAATCCCAGTTCCCTCAGCCTCTCCTCATAAGTCATGTGCTCCAGCTCCCTAATCATTTTTGTTGCCCTACGCTGGACTCTTTCCAATTTTTCCACATCTTCCTTGTAGTGTGGGGCCCAAAACTGGACACAGTACTCCAGGTGAGGCCTCACCAATGTCGAATAGAGGGGAATGATCACGTCCCTCG